ATAAAAGATTGTCTAAAGTTCAGCTGGCCACACTTGGGTATAAAATAGAGCTGATATTTTTATCGGGTTAACCATTGTAAATTTAAATAAGCCAGTATAATGTTTACAAATACATCATTTGACGGATTACTGTAAGACATGGAGAGTAAATGTTTTTAACTTTTTAGAGTGAAGAATATGAAAGAAACAAAGTAATATCAAATGAAAATCCAGTTTGGAATGAAAGGAAAAAAAGAAAGATAAAAAAATGCTGGGTTAGAAAATTAGATGGATTTTTTTTATGGCTTAACTTTTAGCTGGTTATTTAAAGCCAGAAAATATTTTTGGATTATAAAATATTTTGAAGATAATAAATATTTACCGATACAAATCATAGCTGGAGGGAGAAGAGGTGGATTCATACTTTCCCCAAGGGTGTTTGCATGTAAGTGAATCTAACAAACTTAATTGGAATTAGAACTTCACTCACCAATTTCAAGCTGTTATCCATTACACCACTTGCACATCCAAGCTTACAGTACCTGGTATTCTCAAGTGGTAACCCATCTAGGTACTGGCTAGGCTCAAAGTTGCTTAAATTTTTTAATCATACAAGAACTTTTGTTTCAATGTCATATGGCTTTAAGCCGAGAAAATTAGAGTAATAAAAAATAAATGAAATCTTGATAATTTCATAGTTACAATGTAACTAGATAACAATATCTGTAGTATTTGTTTTTGTACTTGGCAACTTAACATGGTTATAAAAAAAAATGCTCAGCAAAAGACTGTATAAGTATTAGGATTTAGTAATAAGAGCTGTTTCCTTACAATGAAACATTTAGCATTCATTGACCAAGCAGCCAGTGCTATTGTTAGTTGAAATTTATAAACTCTTTCTCTCTCTCTCAAAAAAAAAAAAAAGAGAGACAAATTTACTAAGTAAATCATATTTTTTCTGTATGAATAATTCCAATGTAAAGGAAAATTATTTTAAGTCATAAATTTACATATTCATTTTGGAATGTATTTCATTTTTGGTCTACTCTTATTTTTACTACAACAAAGCTATTGGTATAAATACAAAAAATAATTTATAAGTTTTTGCATGTTACCTTTAAGCCAAATGCACCTAAATTTAAGGCAGTTACATGACAAGTGAACACTAGTTGGTTTTATATTCTACTAAAAATGGCACATTCTTGAAATGAGAGTAAATGTTTAACAAGCTTGACAATGTTGTAATTTATATTTGAAGAAAGAAAAAAAAAAAAAAAAAAAAGGCCAAAAGCATAAATTAATCATTTTAAGCAGTTCAGATACTGGAATTTTGATTAACATCTTGATTATTTCTCTAAGATTAAGAATGCTTTTACATAAAAGAATTAAGCTAAAAGGAAAAGTCAGTGAAACTTACAACATCTCGCAAATCACTAAATCCCAAACTCTTACTTATAATTCATATATTTTAGGCAACTGATTACTGTAATAGATTTTCCTTCACAGCAAATATTTGGCTTGGAACTACAAGAAAAAAACTCTTTTATTGCATAAAAGAAGCTGTGCATGATAGACTTTTCTTTTAAAGTATATACTAAAATCTTATTTTAAAATCTTTATTTTAAAGTATATACTAAAATCTTATTTTAAAATCTTTATTTTAAAGTATATACTAAAATCTTTCTTTTAAAGTATATACTAAAATCTTATTTTAAAATCTTTATTTTAAAGTATATACTAAAATCTTATTTTAAAATCTTTATTTTAAAGTATATACTAAAATCTTATTTTAAAATCTTTCTTTTAAAGTATATACTAAATCACCAAGCAATAGGCAGTCAACATGTGAGAGAGTTAAATATAAACAGCAAAGAGTTACCTTTACATAGTTATTTGGTCTATGAAAGCCAACAGTGAAGTATTTCTAACATAGGATAGTAACTGCTACAAGATGAACACAAGACACAAGTTACATGAGTTTAATAAAAAACAATTCCAAAGTATAAGCTCTTTGTTCATTGGCCTTTTTGGCCTTTACACAATCTAAGATTCGATTGGAATCTTTCAGGGATGGACTGGGAAAGTGTATGTTAAAGAGCATCATTTTCTGTAACTTACAGGTTAAAAAAAAAAAAAAGTCAGCCCAGATTAAATATACAGCCTGACAAAGTTTCTTAAAATTTCATGTTTATTCGTCTTGATGAAAGCATGGGGGAATAAAAATTAATTTGGACAAGATTTTAAGTAATTTTTTTTTTTTTTAACATCTGTATACATACAGCACCTTTTCTGCTAATTAGACAGTCATATCCAGATGAGATCTTAAATAGTTACATAATTATTATATAATCATTTAAAGAACTGATAAATTTCTCATACATACATACACACACAACTACATATAAATACCTACAAACAAAACTTTACTTTCAGTAGATATGGACTAGATACCTCTAAAATTAAAATACTATTTTATCTTTCTAAATATTTTTTTAAACAATAACAATACAGGGGTCCTCGATTTACATCAGAGATCTATTCCTATGGCATGACATAACTTGATTTTCAACATAAGCCAGAACTCACTTACATAGGCACCCACAAGTCTGTTTTACACTTGATAGCCATAATGAAGGGCAAAAAGTCCCCTAAAAAGTGACACAAATGAGAAATAGCAAATGCAGCCCAATCCAATATGGAGAACAGCTGGTGAAGAAACGTCTTCCTCATATAGCGCCACATGACGCATTATGAGAGATGGTGCCATCCGTACATCTGAGGACCTTCTATATACAGGTAACAAAGACACCAAACACTCAAGCATGAAATACTTATACAGTTGTTTCCACACTATTAATACATTGAAAGTATCATTACTGTCAATGTACCCTTTTACTATTAAGAAAATGAAAGCAAATTTTTTTTTTGGTGACTTAGAACTGGGAGAAAAAGGAGGTTAAAGTAAAGGAAATTTTACTCATAATTTTGAAAGAAAATAAAATGTTTTTTGCTCTTAAAATTAAACAGAAGGATTAGAAATTATGGAAAAGGAAAAAAAGATGTAATTTTTCTTCCAAAATAAAAACAAATGTTAACTTTATCAAATTGATTTCTTTCAACCAATTCTAGTGGAAGATCAAAAAAACAACTTTTTTTCAACTCTAAAGTTTAAAATCCAAGCAGCATTTGATGACTCAAGTTGCTACTCTGTATTTAATCTTGAATTTTATAAGAAAAGCCCGATAGAGAAATTCATTATTTCTATAAAACAAATGCAAAGCTTACTATTACTATCATTTCAAAATGACATATAAACGTTTTTAAAATATTCTAAATAGTTTCTGTGGGTATAAAACATTTTTCCATGAAACAACAATGTAATACTTTGAACCCAATAAAAAAGTTGGGATTTTGCATAGCATCACTTATAAAATAGCAGAAATCTTTCCCTCTGCTATAACATCAGGTTTGCTTACAAAATGAAAAGAAATTATGTTGAAAAGAAAAACAACGCAATTACAAAATTTGTTTAGACTCAACATTAATGAGATGGGATATAAAAAATGTCATTCTGATAAAGACAATTAAAACTGAAAAACATCTTTTAAATATTAAGAGAATTTGTAAAAAGAATGAAAAATGATACAAAGAAAAAAATACAATAGCACATAACCGAATAGATGGTCTAAAAAATTTCAGAATTTTTTTTTTTTTACTTTTGTGCATATTATGAAAATAGATTTATTATTTCTGATGACATTCTTACTAATACAGTAATTTAAAAAAAAAAAAAAAATTATTGAAATTGGCCAAAATAATAAAGTTTATTCATTTTCAACCCCTTTTATGCTTTCTAACCATGATGATGAGGTAGCAGGATATTTCAAAATATCTGTATAGCAGTTTGATTTTTATTTATTTAAAGATGCAGAATTGTTAAATAGGCATCCATTTTTTTTAGGTTTGTTTTCAACTTTCCCACTCTTTATGTACTTGTGTCTTTGTCTGGAGAAAATGTCTAAGGTAAATGAATAAATTTCTGAAAAGCATTGGCATTAATGGCACTTGCCAATGTCCTTTGAAGCGAAGTGCAAAGCCTAAGCTTAACATCATAAGTTTTTAAAATCCAAGACAATAAATCTTTATAAATGAATAAGGGGGGGGGGGGTTGCATCAGATGCCTGTCAATGAAATGAATAGATAACTAGTAGTAAATACAAATATCTATAGAATGTTTTATACATTTGTGATACTATTGGGATTTACTGTTAGTTAATAAAACAAAAAATAAAATAATTTTAACAGAATTTAAAATTGTTATCTACAATGAAATTATTTCACAACAGTTTAAGATTTGTACACCTTTATATACAGAATATATATGATACTTTTAACACATTAACCATATGATTTTGTGTTTGACATCTAGTGTAGGTATATTTTCTAATATTTTAACTAAATATCTACTAATTAAGCAATATTATACAGTATTCAAATGAAATTATGCTGCAGTTTGATAATTTCAAACATATACATGAATCGAATAGATAAACAATACTGACTTGGTCAGTGATGTGTGAAAGGAAAACAGTTAAACCAATGTGTCAATCTTGTGTGTAGATCATACTGTTCTAAGAATGTGATCAGAAACAATAAAGACTCTTTTTACATTACGCACAAAATGATCTTTTAAATTAAAGAGTAAAATCTAAAACTTTCAGGCAATTTTATCTTATGCACATACACAGATCCACACATGAAATTGTTCCTTTTATTAATCTTTTAATATGAAAATATGAGATGGGCGACATAGTAACTATTTAAATGAAACAAATGTCTAATGTTCCTATGATCAGTATGGTATATATTCTTTGCTGTCTTCTTTGTTTATGGAATTGTTTTGAAAGTTTTCCCAAAGTGAATCAAATTCTTCTTGGAAATTCCTTGCAACATCAGCATCATTGGTTATGAGCACATTTTCCAGATTCCCAGTGATGGCTCCTAGGGTCCAATTGAAAGACCCGTGGATAACAATTTGATGGTCAATGACGGTGAACTTGTGATGCATGAATGAAGAGGAATTGTCAGTGCGCACAACAATACCTGCAAAGACATAAAAAAATGATATGAATAAATATACTCCAATTTTATATATGATAAGAAGTAAATAAGAAATTAAAAATTTTGGTACATGCTAAAAAAAATGTAAATAAACTGGGAGAAAAAAAAATTTTTTTTTGATAATTTTTATGAATTAGAAATGTTTTTTAAATTTCAAAATACATCCTTTCGTTGTATGAAGTCAACAATCTAAATTCATTGTGGTAATTGATATTTTAAAAAAAAACTTCATATATAAATCACCATATACTTTTTTTTTTAAAAAAATGTGATACATGAAGACTGATTGGCATTTAAATTTATTCTCTAAATGTGCAAGAGAGACATACAAACGAGACAGTTTCATCAATGAAAATAAGTAGCAACATAATTAAAATATGAATATAGTATGAAATAAAACAAATCACTAAAAATGCTTATCTTGCCAAGATTAGAGGTGAGATAAATTTTATATTTTCATGTAAAGCTTTAAAGCTCTCACGGGGTTGTATAAAACAGAAAAGTATTTATCTGCAAATTTCTTTCTGGAATATCTAAATATATTGAAACTCATTTTCAATATTTTTAGTCAGGTTATAAAAACAAAATTTATAAAACACTAACAAGAAATTAAAATCTTAACTTATCTATTGTTTCAAAATGTAATAAAATTTTGAAGAGAGGTTTTGTAAATGGATTTGAAACAAATGTCTAATGTTCCTATGATCAGTATGGTATATATTCAAGCATCAATCATTAATTTGCATATAAGAAAAAAAAAAACTCAGAAAGATCAGTTAATCCTAATTAAGACTATAATGTAAAGCTATAGTAGATCATATGATGTAGCCATCATTATGCAGAAGATAAAATCAGAAGTAGCTATGATTTTCTAAGTCAGAGGTCTTTCCCATAAATCTAATCTTTATTAAAAGTCATAAGCTATGGTCATTTTTAAAAGCAAACATCTGCTATTTAGTACCAATGTAGTCATCCAGGGTTAGGGTAGTTTAACATTTTAAGCTTTGCTGAATCATTCAAATTTAGTTTCACTTTTTATTATTATTTTTTATGACACTATATATATATATATATATATATATATATATATATATATATATATATATATCTCACAAGTCATTGTGACCATAGGTTTGAGCATACTACAGTCAGTTCAGCTACTGATCACACCAAGTTGTATACTCTCTCAGAAACTGTAACTAAAGTCCATTCAGCAGAGTTGCTGTATAAATCACAGGTTGGGTTTGTGGTGAAAAAATACATATGATTGAGCAGGTGTCTGCATGCTGCATGTTCTGGTTCCTTCTCCTTACTGTAAAAAGAATGTGCAATTGTTTTTTTAATATGGTCAGTAACTAATCTGGACAAGGTACCATGTACCTTTCAATCTATCCAAATACTTGTTTCCACTTTTCTAAGTTGGGTCTCAATGTAAAGCAATTCCTCTTTATGTTGTTATGCCAACACTATTTTTTCTGGAAGACCCCCCCCATTCTAGTCCTAAAGTCAGCACATGAAACCATAAACTTGTTATGGGGTACCATCTCCATAGCCAACTGAGTCAGCTATGGAATTACTAATTTAGTACACTTTACATGCAAGATCCAGTTATGTGTGAATGATCAGCTTAAAAAGCAAAATTACTCATTGACGTCTTTCATGTGTAGTAGTTCAACGATCTATTAAATCATTATCATTCACCAGCTATTTAATGATCGCAATTTTGAGTGTTTGTTGTTGTCATGATGGTCAGCATAATAGAAAGTATTGAGAGAGAAGAAGAAAACAAGATACAAAGATCTAAGCTAGCTTCACCATCACCAAAAATAGACAAAAATTTGGAAAAGCTAGGCCATGAAGCTGTACTGACGGTAAAAATAACAAGAACATGAGGACACATGTTTAACCATTTCTAAAAATAAATAAAAATTTGAAACTGTCAGACCCAATCAGAAACAGTTCCAATAAGGATACAAACATAGCAGTCTGGTAAGCTAATTGGTAATTTCTAAACAGATCTCTTTATTTTGCCAGCATGTATATAAAGTGACGGACAGCCAAATTAATTCAGAGTAGGTGAATTAATAAATTTTATCAATTATCCCATGCTGGTATCATTGTAAAATGCACAGAACTAAAATACTATATATATATGCAACCCACAGATATATATGCATGGATACACACTTATACATACTTTATTCAATAATTTACACAGCCGACTATGATGTCTTAATATATACATGCTCTTATGAAAATATCTCTTATATAAAAATCTATTTTGCTTATATTAGTTCTGTTGATTTTCTTTCACTTATTACAGAAAGCCACATTGATATATGCTGGGAAACAACATCACTATTGTAGAGTTTAGAGGTTAGCACTTCAACCAGGCTTCAAACTGATATGAAGATAATGTTTAATTTTAGCATTCAGCACTGGATGCTCAACCTTTTATTTATTTGTCAAAATTTTCTTACAGGGTTCCCACAGATCTGTGTAAAAAAAAAATTCCAGGACTTTTCAAGGACTATGTTAAGACATTTCAAGGACTGAAACTGGTGTGCATATACATGCACATACACACATGCATAAAGTGAATGGTCATCAATTTCAAAAGCACAAACATTGTGATTTATCTTTTAATAGTTTGACAGATGAGATGTTTAAAGAAAAGCTACAGCTGGTTCCAATAATTCATGTCACATGCATCAGTTGAAAACTGAAAAAATCAAAGTGTTGAAGGCTAAAACACAACTGAATGCAGACCTGGTTATGTTTGTATTTACTTGACTTTCCACTGAGTCAGGTTGTGACACAAGGTCAGTTTTTAATGTAGGGACCTGAGTGTCTTCACTTGGGCTGCTGGTCATAGCTTGTCCAAGCTAGTCATAGCTGTGATACTACCAGTGCAAGGACGGATCCCTGTGACCGGTAAGTATCTAAATGTGCATGCCCCTCAAGGGAGGGGTTTACACACTACAGACCTGGTTATGTTACACATTTTGTGTAGCATTCTACACAGTTTGGAGTTTAACTGCACTTGAAAATATTGAATTATACACTTTAATTCTCACTGCTACACATGGTTTGTGAATTTCACAAAAATTCTTGACTGCTGCACATTTCCTGTGAAGTTATATATAGTAGTTTGAATGAATAGAACTACAAATAGAAATTTTCACAAAAAGACTACGCATTTTCGCTACCCCTACTACTCATAGCTTTTGTTGCACCTGGCACAGAACACAATGATCTTAACATTTTTTTCAGTTCATCTAATTTAGTATACAGCTCTTCCAATTTTGATGTTTCTATGAATTTGTCCTTTGAAGATCTTCGCATGGCATTGGACTTTGCGATAAGTGTTAAGTTCTGAGTCTGTTCAGCTTTCTCCACATAGCTATCAGCTGACTTGAGCAAATCTTGTGTGCTACTTTCAAACTAGTGTTTTTTGGTCTTCAGTACTTCAATTTCCATGAGCAGAGATTTCTGTTTTTGTCCAACTGCTTCTTCCTACCTTTTTTTCTTTACAGCCTCAAGGTATTGATTGTATGCTGTTCTGGCATTGGAAGCACTGCAGAGAAGAGCCTTAGTCATGGGAACATTCCCAGCACCTCCAACTGTGGCCAAATATTGTTTGATAATGTACTGTGCAACCAGAGCCTACTGTTTCATATTATCAGTGGAAATTTCTTTATTGACTGAGAAATCTCTCTCCACTGAGGCCTGTCCATAAGAGAGTACCAGCAATCTACAAACAACTTTCTACAGTTTTTAATAATTCTTTGTTGCTAGACAAAAGAAGAGTAAAACAAAGTGTCCAGATGGTCTTCATGGTTGCTGAAATTTTTGAAAGCAAATATTTCCAGCAGCCTCCTCCTTCTCCTCAAACTCTTTGTACTGGCTGATGATGTCATCATAATCAGACTGGCTGACTTGATTTCTGTCAATCATGTAGGAAAGACATCTTTTTTAGACTGTCTTCTGTGGCAATTTTTTTTTTCACAAATGGATCCAGGGTTCAGCCATACAAGTAACCTTACAAGAGGTTATCTAAGGGGAGAATTTGCTAGAAATTTCTCAAAGATGACGATGAACATTGTCTTTGTTGCAATTCTGCATGCAAACAGATCTTTTGTTGATATATTTCCTTTTTTTGGATAAATTTTACCTCACCCTATCTGCCAGAAATCCATACTCGATCTTTGCAGCATCTTTATGCATGTGTGGGTTTGACAAAATTCTTACAAATTCATTCAGTTTGGAAAATGTGCCATATATAGCCACATATCATGCTAATATTGAAGCTAATTTTAAGGGGGCCGCATCATACACGGTGTTAAAACAGAATCTTGCTCAACAAAGAGAGTGACAGCACCTTCCCAAACAACAGAAAAATGTTCCCTGAGGAGAAATTTCAAAAAACTTAAATACTGCCTAATGGTTAAATCCACTTTGGCAGGAAGGGAAATAAGCTACTGCCATTGCTTAAAACATATCCAAATACAATTTTTTTTTAAGAAAGAGATTCTAGGCTCACATACATGATCCAGAATCTTGTTAGAAGAGACACTTCTCTTAGTCAATCTGCAACTTGGCTTGAGCGAGAAATCCATTCAAATTTATGTATTGCCTTTTGTTCAAGCATTTCACGAATAATTGTAGTTTCAATTATCTGCCTTTTATCTAATATTTTAGTAGATAAGTAAGCAGACTCATATAGGCCTGAATTGTCAGTTTTACATATTACTGGAAGATTTTCCAGTTTGTCTTCAATGCATAAAAGTTCTAGAAGATATTTTCTATAAAAAGTGCAGGCTTCCATAGTATCAACCATAGCAAGTGTGTATGCTACCTGCATACTTTTTACAACTCTTTTGACTATGAGATTGTCAAGAAACTGGAACATAACTATCATTGTCACACACAATAAAGACAATGTATCCTGTTTGAGATCCTCCATTGTTAAGTTCAGTAAA